CCCTCACCATTGCAGCAGAAGCCGGGAAAGAAGCCCAAACCTCTTTAATTTTGATAGCTATATTAGACATATGACTAAATTACAACAATTTAAAAGTATTGGGCACTGATCCGATGGTACCCTGGGCAAATGCCTAACCACCATACAATGGAGAGAACTTGTGGCTATTGAGTTCAAAAAGAATCTCTCCAATCTATCTAGGATTCAATCAACACAAGTATTATTGTTGGACCAAGTGAACTTTGGACCAACACATCCAACCTCATTAAGGTCATTACAAGCTAAAAAGGATTTCATATCTTTAGGTCCTTAGGAAAAAATAAATCTTCTCCCTCCCCTTTTTCCCTTCTTAGCAAGCAAACAGTTGAAATCACAAGCCACCACCATAGGCAAGTATTTGAATAAATATAAATCCAAATTCTCCCAAAGAGCTCGCCTTTTGTAAACATCCTTACTCCCATAAATGGTAACAACTCTCCATCTACCTTTTTTAAGAACCTCTAGCTCTTCAACTACAAATTGGGAGAAGATTCCAAAATAGTAAAAGTAGACATATTATATTTCCATAACACCAAAATAGCTTATGATAAACCTTCTGAAGGTACTTAAAAATAATCCCAATCAGCACCAATCAATTAATTGACATCCCTCCTATCAATGACTGTATGTATGGTTTCTAGCAACCCAATAAAAAAGTTCCATGATCCTTGATCACCTCCTTAATATATAGAGAAGCCTTCCTCTTCTTGGCTCATCTACATTTCTATAAAGCTATAGACAATATCATTAAATAAGAGGAGAAGAGATCCCTTCTTTATCCTTTTGATCACATTCCAATCTTCTACTCATAGGAGCCAATTTTATAGGACCCAAGCCTTTAAGTTGCTTCAAACTTTTCTTTTTGACAATAGAGATGCCAACTTCTTGAGAGTCAAACTCATAAATCTATACAACCAATCCCCTATCCAATGACCCATCACTAATCCCTCCCTTATCATCATCATTAATAGGAGAATTCACCACATTATTATTTAAAATAACTATCTCCCCTTCTTCCACAATTTTATCCAAAATATCAAATTTGTTATCATTATTGGGATAGTTTGAGATCATACCCCTCCAGTATCCGAAGCACACAAAAGTATTGAACTATTTTGAACATGGGATTCCTCATTTCCTAGATATCTACTAGATAATGAATTACCTCCTCCGTCATCAGGAGACTTAAACAACTCACCAGCAGCAACCGGTTCTCTCTCAACACTAGGAAATTTCAAAGATCCAGACATCTTCAAAGCATCCACCTTCATATTACTTCTTGAAGGTTTAGTTATTAAACGTTCTCTTCCCATAATTGACATGAACCCCAGGTTCATACTCAACTTTAGTAGCCTCAACAACATAACCCAACACTCTATCCATAGCTCAAGAGTCTTCATTCTCATATATAATAACAATACAATCCAAGTTCTTTGATTGGTTAGAAACCAGATTAGCCTCTAAATGATTATCCATATAATTCTTCTTTAAGGGTCATATCTTGCCACAGTTTAAGCAGAAATTAGATATTCTTTCATACTCATTTCTTTGAAAGAATTTGCCTGAACCTCCCTCCACCCAAACACCGGAAGGCAGCTTACCATCTGGTTTGACCTGAACACAAATCCTGGCAAATTCCCTTCTTCGCCACTAAATCATGTTCCCGTCAATCATATACGGGGAGGCAATCATTGAAGCAATCCTGCATACATTAATTTTATCCAAGCTTTATAATGGGAGGTTTGGCATTCTAATCCAAATAGGAGCCAATAGCCCGTTTAAAGGAGGAGGAAAAAAAGATGGTGACTATCTATCCATTCAAATGAAATGTCCATTGACATACCATGGACCACTAGACAAGACTGACTCCAATGGTTTTTCATCATAAAACTCATAAAGAGCCCACCCCATTCCAAGCAATGTCAAATGAAATTAGCCAAATTGGAACCATTGTCTCCTTGATTCCTTACTTTTCACATGAAAATGAACATTCACACAAAAAACTTTGATAACCAATAAATTCTTTAGTTTTTTAGAATTTTCTAGTTCATTTTGTAAATGCATCTTCACCATTGAACCATTCTCAATAAAATAGTCCCCATGTCAAGATCCATAACTCTGATATTTAATTTTTTTTTCATACATTCATCATATTACTTAATTGTTGTTTTGGAATAGCCTCCTGATTATTCATAACTTTAAATTGGCCAAATCACCTGACTCATAACTAAAGACCTTCTCTAGATCATTCACTGACTAGATTAAGTTATCCCCTTATGGTCCTGAATAACCATCCAATTTGCAGCCCTGAGAAACCTTCTTTACCTCCTTAGTTATAGAATTATGGATAAAATCCAATCCTTTTCAACAAAATAAAAAACCTTTGGTATAACAGAAGCCCCAACAACATGATTATCACTAACTACACCATTCAAAATAGTTTTCAAACCTGAAGCTGATGAATCAACATTATTAAATTTATAATCTATTTTATAAACTAGAAGAACTCAAGGAACCTTTGGTTTATCAGTCAAGTTGTCGGCCAAAACATTCTTACCTTTCCCTATATACTTAGTTAGTTTTTTACGAACAAATAAACAACCTTGTTTGATGACCAAAGCCATTGCCGACTTATGCTTCATCTTAACATCTTGGTCAAAACTAGTACCAATGTCTCCAAAACCAGGAGGAGACAAAATAGAATTCAATTGAGGTTGAAATCGAGCACCAGCAACAGTTAGACATCAAACATTGAAAAGGCCTCCTACTGATGGAGGCCGGTGACCCTCCACCGCCATCATAGCGATTTAGGAATCATATAAATTTGAAATTTTAAAAATTGCTTTCTCTCTCTAAAAATTAGGACCTCTCTCTAAAGTACTCTTCATTCACAAATAGCTTGAGGGTTTTGAAACCCATTCCAAATTGAATAGAATTATTTAAAATCAGGACCTCAATGTACAAAATTTAATTATCTAAAATTTGAAGACAAAAATAAGATTTATAAATGTTGAAAAATAGAATTTAAAAAATCATAAGGGATATCACATTTTATCACCAATACTGAATTATTGAAATTAATTATCCTAGAGTAAGAGTAGAGAGAGAAAGTCAGGGATTTTGGCAGAAGAAGTTTTTTTCAAATTTTCAATTCATAGTATTAGTTAATTCTGATGGAAGCAAACGATCGCCGGCCACCTTTGGCCAGTGAACCACCTGAAGAATGTCGCTCCACTAGATGTTCTCTAACCGATATAGCTCATGGATTATCATCTTCTCCTTTGGCATTTGGGGATGGAAGGCCGTCCTTCAATAAAACAAATGCCAAATTGAATAAGCCATTGACCATTAATGAGGGAGGTTTGCTTTTGAAAAAGAAGGATTATGAATTGATTGGCAAGGGAAAGGGAATTTTGCTGGAAGATAATCTGGATGTTTTTGGTTCGGTTGGAACAACCCTGTTGGCTAAATAAGTTTTGGTAAGATCTCCATTGTCAATTCCTGAGAGTGAAGTAATTCAAATTCCCAACAAAGAGGGGAAATGTTCTGTTCACTCTAAGAATGAAGATAATCTATTGAAAGGAATAATTGTGTCCAGTGAATCTAATGTTACTGGAATAGAAAAGGACATGCTCACGAAAGCTACTACATATTCTAATCTAGAAGAGGTTCGCAAATGCAGCAATGGCGATCTTGCCAGATCTGATGAAGTGAATGTTGAAATGCCTAATCGACCAGTATTAGGAAATCAACCGAATGCTTGAAAAAAAAAAGAACATCAGAGTTGCTGATCTGGATTTTGGCAATTGTTTATCAGAAGATGGGAAATCAATCAAGCTTCATGAGCAAAAGGTGTTAGAGAATACTAAGAAGCTTGAAAACTCCTTAGTTATAAAAATATTTGGTGAAGAAGCCGCATTTTCTTCAATTAGTTATGAGTTGAGGAAACAGTGTCTATATATGGTAAATTCCATCTTATGTTGCTTGGGAATGGATGGATTCCCTATTCCTTGTACGACCCCAATCCCCAATCATGTGGAAGCTATGTTAACCAATGGTCCTTATGGGATATGCAGGATAAGTATTCTATTATTGATGTACCTGTGGCAATTGGTGGAGATTTCAATTGTATAATGGCTAAGAAGGACAAAATTGGAGGTAGAAGGTTCCTTTTTTTCCCAAGGTCCTAAGGAGATGAAAGAATGTTTGATGAAAAATGATCTACATGAAGTTGGGTTTATTGGACCTAAATACACTTGGTGCAACAATAAAAGCGGTGGAGCAAAGATACTTGAAAGACTGGATAGGTGCTTCATTAATTCCACTGTATTGGGCTCTTCTCAATGGTTGATTATTAGGCATTTGGCTAGAATAGCCTCGGATCATTTCCCAAACCTTTTGAACATTCTTGAGCCTTTTCCATCCTTCAAAAAGAAAATCAAGTTTGAAGATTATTGGGTATCCCATCAAGCATCTTTTGCGGTGGTGAAGAAGGAATGGAGTAAATCTTATTAAGGGGATATCTCTCAAGTTCTCAACAAGAAATTTAAAAGATCCTTGAAGTCTTTGTTCTTTTGGAGCAAAGAAAAATTTAAGGATCTTAACAAGCTCAAAGAGGATCTTATGAAAGACATCATGAACTTGCAAAACAAAGAGTCTAGAGATGGATCTCTCTCAGATTTTGATTGCTGGTGCCTTAAAGCTAAGGTAAATGAAGTAAATTCAATTATGGTAAGATTGAAAACTTGGTGGAACCAAAGAGCTAAGATGAAGTGGTTAGTGGAAGGAGATGGCAATTCAAATTTCTTTCATTCATATGCTAGTGCTAGAAGAAATTTAAATAAAATGGTCAATGTTAAAAATGAATATGGTGATTTGGTGGAAGAACAAGACCTGATTGAAGAAGCATTTTTCAAATTCTTTGAGAAGAAATGGGATGCTAAGAACTGTAAATTAACTGGATGGCCGGCAGCAACACATTGCTTGAGCAGGAGTTATACGGATTTTTTGATGGAGACTTTCCAATTGAAGAAGTGGAGAGAGTGCTGAAGAAAATGGGCAGTAATATCTCTCCTGGCAAGGTTGGTATCACATACTCATTCATTAAGGCATATTGGAGCATCATAAAAGCTGATTTCTGGAAGGCATTGAATCAAGTCGATTGCTATGGGGAGTTGAACAAAGAATGGAAGGAAACTCTAATTGTCCTAATACCAAAGGTATCAAATCCTCTTCTTCCTTCTAACTATAGGCCAATAAGTCTATGTAATTTTGTATACAACGTGAAAGCAAGGGTGTTATTAAAAATGTTAATTGAGGACATTCCAAAGCTTATTTCAATGGAGCAAGCGGCATTCATCAGGGGGAGATCATTGTCAGGTCATGTATTGGTAGCTCAGGAAATCTTCCCCAAGCTCATGTTCTCAAAAGCTACTAAAGGACTAGTTTCTTTCAAGGTAGACATGGAACAAGCTTATGATTACATGTCCTGGACTTCTCTCTGAAAAGTGTTGGCGTATTTTAACTTTCCTCCAAAAATATCCAAACTAGTAATTGAGTTTGTGGAAGATCCAACATTCGCTTTGATTATCAATGGCAATTGCTCGAGTTGGATATAAGCAAAGAGTGTCTTTCGCCAAGGTTGTCCTTTGTCTCCAATCCTCTTCATACTTTGCTCACAACTTCTTTCTATTGTCTTTTCTCATAGCTCTTGTGGAATTAAAATCAATTCTGGTGGGCAGAGAATATCCCATCTATTATATGCAAATATTGTGATTATGTTTTTTGAAGCTAACAGAAGGGCTGTTAAGAAAGTCAAGGAAATTTTATATGATTTTTGTGAATGGACGGGTCAACGTATAAATATGAGCAAATCTGCCATGTTGTTTGGTAAACATGTGTGGAGGAAGAAGAGAAAAAGCATTTCAAGGATAATGGGCTTCAAAACAGTAAAATAATTCAACTACCTTGGGATGAAGGTGGCATTAAGAAGACTCTCACGTGATGATTTCCAATTCATCATTGATAAATTAATAAGGATGCTCAACATATGGGGAAGTAAATTTTTATCTCTAGCTGGCAAACTAACTTTAGTAAAAACAGTAATGTTGTCTTTACCTTCCTTCCATGCTACACATTATCTTATCCCAAAATGTGTATTGGAAGATTTAGATAAACTCTGCAGGAGTTTCATTTGGAACAAGTCCAATGGCTCTACAGGTTTGCACTATGTTAGTTGGGGTGAAATGTGTAAACCAGTAAGAAAAGGTGGAAGAGGTTTGTATACAAGTTCTTCTAAAACATCTGCTCTAAGAACAAGGTAGGCATGGAGGTTCTTTCAAGATAGAGACTCTCTTTTATGTGTGGTAATGACTGCTAGATATGTAGAAAGGATCGATATGGAAAAAATTGGATATTGGATAAGTGTATTAACTTATGGACACGTTTGGAGTTCCACAAGAGGATGAAGTTGTTTTGGTAAAAGAATTCATTCATGATGGATGCTGGAATGTACCAATGCTGCTAGGAACATTTGGTACAGAATTGGTTAATCTCATATTGCAGGTGAAGATTGTTCAAGATGGAGAGGGGGATCGAATGGAGCTGATTCAAAAACAATCTGGAATGTCATTTACTGTAATGGTATATAATTCTTAGATTTAGGACAGCAGTGAATCTTAGCATTGGAAGTGGATAAAAAAAGCAAAACTGAATGCTCAGGTTGAAGTGTTTTGGTGAAGAGTAAGTAAAAATGCAATCCCATCATTCAAATTCTTACCGTATTGAAGATTATTGGATAATGCTAACTATCCAAGAGGATGCAATGCTATTGAGGATGAGGAGCATATTGTGTGTAATTGCTTGAAGTTAAAAGAGGAAATTCATCATCTAAACCATTAGGGGTTTGAAATTCCTACATTTCTAAGCTTTGAAGAATGTATAAAATGGAATTGATTGCATTGAAGAAAGGTATGCTAGCAAATTTATAATGTAATGCAATCTTTTTTATCATGGAAAGCTAGGAATAAAGAGCATTCATGAAGGAGTGGAAGATAGCTTTGCTTTTATTGCTTCCAATACTATTTGTTATACATCAGTTTCTCAAAGTTTAAACCATTTCTATTTGCGCCATTGGGATGTCAACCAGTTGATCAGACTGTCAAATACTTTGCATCCTCCTCCACCTGAATGGCTAAAGGTAAATGTAGAAGCTTCTCTACTTCCTTCTTATATAGCAGGTATTGTTGGAGTATTCAAAAATTGTAAAGGCAGATTCCTATTTGCTTTTAGTAGAACTTGCATTTATTGGGATATGGCATAATTGAAGCTTCTAGTAATTCATTCTTTGAAGGAGGTGATCAAGGATTGGATGTTCAAATACAAAGCTATCATAATTGAAGGTGACAACTCCAATATCATTTCTTTTCTGCAAGGTATTTGGAAAAAAATGAAACTATAAAAAAGTGGATCATGGCTTTCTTAAGGAGTTTAATTATGTCATTTTCAATTGTATAGGTAGAGAAAGAAATAAGTTAGCAAATTTGTGTGCTAACTATGCTCTTTTTAGTAGCCTTAGTTGGGAAGAGTTTACTTTGAATAAGGTTCCTCCTTCATTCTTTAACATGTTGAAGGAGGAATCCACTATTTAGTTGCATTGTTTTACTAATTTATTAATATATGCAAGCTACGGCTTTTTATTTAAAAAAAAAAAAGAAATATTGAAATTAGAACATAATATAGAAAAACAAAGTGTAAATGCTATTTATCATTTCAAGGAAATTATTTTTTCATTACATACATTTGGCTACAAGGGGCTGTCGTAGAAAAAACATATGGCAATGATAATTGAATTTGATTTGAAAGATATTTTTTAAAAATATTTTTTATTTTGAAAAAGATCTTGAATTTTTAAAAATTTGATCGTTTTCTTGTGGATTTTGTAACTTAACATGTTGAATTTGCATTTAACATGAGGGTTTACAAAATTGACAAGAAAATTAAAAGATTTGACTTGACTCTATCACCATACCAATTAACTTGGAGGTGAAATGTCCAAGCCTAGTTTTTTCTAGAGAAATTTGAACTTGTCTTTTGGTCGTTTGTAAATTGTGAAACTAAATATATTAAGATTTGTTTGAATATGGAAGTTGAGAGCATTTAAATAATGATCTAAAATGGTTTGGCTTAACTCTTTTTCTCTAACAAATAACTTGGAGGCAAAATGTCAATGCCCGACTTTGATAGAGGTTTCCTCACCCACCTATCTTTTGACATGTCTTAGAAATACTTGCCATACTCAAACAAGGAAGAAATGGATAGAGGGACTAATGAAAGGAATGGTAGAAAAAACTACCTATTCAATAAAATTTTTATGATTATTAAAGATATAGGGAGAAATTTTTTTCCCAGCGGGATTGCCATTGTTTGTTTGATTGAAAAGTTGAATTTTAAAAAGATTAATTTTCTTTGAGAGAATTTAATTTTTGGTGTTTTAGTTTTGAAATTGAACACATCAATATGAATGATATTTCTCTTTAAGAGAAAAATATATCATTCCCTAATAGGTTCAAATTACAAAACTATAAGTTTATCCTAATTATCATAATCAAACTCATGGAAGAACCACATATGACCCAGAGAGTAAAAATTATTTTTAATCGAGTGTTTGATTAAAATAATTTGGCTATGGGATCATTTATTTCATAATAAAGGTCTTGATGATAGAATGATATATCTTACCGATGAAAGAGCGTATGATATAATATCAATCAATTGAATTTGATAATAATCATTGAATTTAATTTTCTAAAGATAATTAATTGCATTAAAAAAAGTCTTGATTTTAAAAAGTCAATGTGGGTTCCTAATTGCCTACGAGCACAAGTCCTCAAAATTAATTATATTGTAGGAAAAATTAAGTTTTCTATGAATACTCTCGATTACAATAATGGTAGAATATTTATCAGGAATTTTCAAGCTGTTATATCAAAGGATTAAAGCTAGAATTATAAATAGGTATGGATCAAAATTAAACACTTATTTCGGAAGGTCAAATGATGAAAGGTGTGAGGCAATTTAAGATTCTAAAACATTTTTGAAGCTCTCCAGCCTATCCTAAGTGTTTGGCTTTAAAGTTTGAATTGAAAAGAAATTTTAATTTTAATTATAAATCTATAAAAGGTTGTGATTATTTTTCTACAAGATGGGGTTTATGATTTGAGGTTCACCTCGGATCTTAAGTCTAAATTGGGTACTAGATAATAGTGACATGACCCTAACTAATATAATTCAAACTTGAACTTACCCTAATCTAGATTAGGGAGACAACTAATCTTCTAGGAACTTTAAAACCACGAGTCCAATCATTTATGAAGGTGTGGTAGGGTCATTTAATTAATTTTAAGGAAATGAGGCATGTTGTAAATTTGGGCCCAAGTACTTTAATTTTGATGAGAATAAATATTCTTGTTTTTTTTCTAACACTATTATTGCATATCTTCTTTATATATATATATATATATATATACACTAACCTTTCAAGTCCATAAGTTAACTTCCAATGTTAATCAGCTCAAGATTGGATAAGCTAAGACTGATTATGACTATAATTTTAAATTTAATGTACTTTTTACCTTTTTTGAGTCAAGTCATATATCTGGTGGACCCCAAGCTAAGTAATATTACACACACACTCAAGTAAGTAGGTTGGTAAGTTTGAGAAAATTTCTAGTTTTTGACCTAATCATACAAGACAATTTCTATCATCCTGGTGTTGCAACCCATGACCCTGAGTTTGAGATTTTGATGATGACAAATAATGATTGCCTGAACTATCTATTCATTCAATATCATATTAGTTCTGCTATTGCCTGTGAGTAATAATATTTCAGGAAAATCACAACAATAGGAAGATTCAAGACTGTTTAGATTAGGAGTGTGAGTCTAAAACAATATAATTTTATGTTTATTTTGCTTTTTTTTTCTTTTCTTGAGTCTGGCCACAAACTGCATGTAAGTCTGAGCAACAATGCACACACACAAGGGGAGAGAGTTTTAAAATTAAAAATGCAGATTTTCTTTCTCTGGTGATCGTATTGTACGAATTTATTTTGTACTATACAATCTGATCTTATAAAATGTTTTTTATGAACAGGTCGTACTGTATGAATACTATCGTACTGTACGATACGTTACAAATCCAAAACCCTAGCCATCAAATTAATTTAAGTAAGTTATTCTCAATCGTTCATACTATACGAAGCAATTCGTACTGTATGACATTTTTTTAAATACTTACTTAAATTAACCCATGATTAATGGAATAAATCAAGACCTAATTACAGATTGATAATTGTATTGTGCGAAAATGTTCGTACTATGCGATGATCAGAGACAAATTCTGATCGTCCCATATATCGTCCTAGACGATCCCTTATTTTTGCCTCATCAAACTGTACGATGCAGATCATACCATACGATGAACAGAAATGACATTTAATCATCC